CCACTGGTCTAAACACACCGATTAATTTAGTTGCAGCAGTGAATTATTTAATACGGCTCTTCTAACCAAAGTCCGTAACTCTTACCAAATGACCTTTCCTTACATGGGTCTGGTAAGAAGGTTGAGGGAGATACTGATAGGATTCATCTGTAATTGGTGATAGATTCCCTGGCATGCCCACCTGCTGTGGATAAAACCAGCCACCTGAGAAGCAGCAGGAGGCATCTAATTACCAAATCCAAGAGTTGAGCGCATCCTCTGTGCAGCGAACCTCCTGGGTCCAGAGGACAAGATATCACCAGAGGAGCAGCGGCAGGACTTCCCACCCCACAGAGCAAGCAATGCTGAGGGCTTTGTGCAGGAGGCTGGCTGGCTGAATTGGGCGCATCTAGGCTCTGACTTCAGGGAGTTGGCTTGCTACTCAGACTTAGAGAGAGCACCCTTGGGCCGAGGCTTACTGGAGGAGGTGCCTCTGGGCACTTCAGCATCTGGGTTTGCTGACCCCGAGTTTAAGCCGAATGCCTCCAGGGTGAGGCTTTAAGCAGAGTGACACGCCTGTTGGGCATTTGTCAGCAGGCTAGATGGAACTTTGTCATGTGGCCTGATAGACCGCTCAACCCTGAGCATTTCTCACGAACTTTACCACTTGTAAACTTCCTTAAGAAGCCTCTTAATTGTGGATTTGGTCGGTGAGGTCTGTGTAGCCACTGAAATGGATTCATACCGAGAGATCAAGGAGAGAATACAAATGACGACTTTGCGTTCCCTATAATAAATTCTCTTGTACATGTTTCTGTGTGAGGCTGTAGTTAGGTCACCAGTTTACAAACAAGAACTTAAGGAGCTGTAGGTCAGAGACTAAGAAACCGCTACCTCCCCCTTCCTCCGTTTCAACCCAGGTCTCGTAGAAACCCTTGCCAGCTGCAGGGGACTCACCTGCTCCAGATGCTCAGCTGAGCTTTTGCCCTCTCCCGCCGGGTCTTGAGAGGGTAAGACAAAGAGCTCGGCAGCAGTGGGCAGCCCGGGAAGCACTGCCACCAAGATGTGCTGGCCTGGGACTCCTGTGGCCTGGGGACGAGACAGAGGCTCAAGTAAATCCTAAAGGCATAATGAGAAGGGCCTGGGTGTTCGTCACGGGGCCAGGAGCTGCAAGGAAGACAGCTGGGAGAGGTTGAAGGCGGAAAGGCCCTGCTGGAAGTAGTCATCTAGAGGGAGGCTCTGGAGGCAGACTCGGAAGTCAATTACCAGCTCCCCCAACATGAGACCTTCCAACAAACAAGTCAAAAAGCAAACCAAAAGGGTTCTTCTTTTGACCCCCCACATCTTCCTTCTTGAGTTAGGTGAGAGACGCTGTCCTTTCCTAGACCTGGCTTGAAGCCTTCTCTCCTTTATCATTTATCATCGGTTTGTAGTCGCTTCATGAGTTGGCACCCACATTAATCGTTCTATTAGGTCTTGTTTAAATATCCACTGCGATGATCCCGATTCTGTTATGACCCTTTCTTCCCTGAAGATTTACAATAATCTTTTCATTTTCAAGAGATCTGCTACTCCTTCCAGATTTGTCTTCTTAGAGACCAACACAGATCCCGTGTCTCTGTTTAAAATTCTTGCCAGGGGATAAACAATCTGGAGGAGAAAACAACGGGACCAATGGTTCCGGGAGGACTGGGGAGAGGAGGAGGTGGGGGGAAAGGAAGTGGTGTTAACCAACCCAGGGACAAGGGAACAAGTGATCCAAATCGGTGGTGAGGAGGGTGTAGGAGGCCTGGTAGGGCTTGATCAAGGGTAATATAACTGAGAGGAATTACTGAAACCCAAATGAAGGCTGAGCATGATAGTAGGACAAGAGGAAAGTAAAAGGAAATAGAGGAAAGAACTACAAGGCA